CGGTTTTCTGCACCAAATGAAGGTTTAGATACTGCACGACCCATAGAGGAAGCCATTTCTGAACCTGAAAATCTGTCAACAGCATGTCTTGATGTACATTTATCCACATGTCTCTGTGTTGCTGGCTACTCATATGGGTTCTCAAATTCGTGAATGGGGCCCACACATGGCTATGACTTGTCAACCTCAAACCATGCACATGCTGTAGGCTTGGGATTCCTGCTCTCCTTATATCTTTGCACCTTGCAGCCTCCATTGGCTTTGAATTTTGACACACAAAATCTGATTGATTCCCTTCTTTGGGTGCTCGACTCCTTGATGTCGACATCACGCATGCACCCAGCTACTTACTTGCTGACAATGACCAACCAGCCTGAGTGACAGTGTGTAGTAAGCCTACATGGCACATATGCATTGTCGTCTTTGTGTGGGATCCTTGTTCCCCACAATCCAGGGTTGCACACGACTGACTGGAGATGTATCATGTCTCCATGCAGCAATGCAACCATGCATGTGTTCCCCATATGCCATGCCCTGCAAATTTCAATAATTATGACTCTGCCCTGGCCCCACCTGAGCTCTCGATCAGTCTTTGGTCCTGCATTCCATTCACTGCTTTTGATGCTCCTTGGCCCTGTCACATCCAACTGCCATGTCTGAGTCGACCCCATGATGAGTAGTTGCATGGTATCTCTCAATCTCTGTCATCATCTGGTTGCATGTGTAGTGGACCCAAACTTGACTTGAGAGTACACATGCTTGTGTATCTCTCATCATCAAGATCCTTCTGTAAAATTGTAATGACTTGGATTAGTCGACATTATTGTTCTTGATGCAAACTTCGAGGGCATCCAGGCTGCTCTCACCTCCAGTTGAGCTATGTATCGACTTCATGGACCCTGCCCTGCTCCGAGTCACCTATCAACTGCTAGGGCATTGGTGAGATGGCTGAGCTGTCTAAGGTACCAGACTAAGGACCAATGCGTTCGACGCGTACCTTGAATCTGGTCATTCGGGGCGTGAGTTCGAATCTCACAGTTGTCATTTTTTCTTCTGTTCTTCCTCGTCAAGGTTACCCTTTCGCCCCGATGATGACTTCAAATTCTCTGTGCACAGAAACTTCCAATCAAGTCAGCCACATTCACCTTCTGATTTACGTGCCCCTCTTCCAAGGGCAATTTTTCCAGCTTAATTCATGTTGCTTGAATACTCTAGCCTGTGTGGTCGTATTTCTTGCAATGGAATTGATTTGAGCCGACTTTCGATACAATTGACTATCACCTTTTTTTTTACTATTTGACTACAGGCATAAGATAGAAAGAATATAACAGGTTTAAGTGTAAAATAAAATTGAAATAGAATGGAATCCGAATCGTCCTGCAGCTCAAATCTATGCCATGTGTAACCTTACTAGAAGGTCAACGAGTGATCCGTCCAGATTCTAGGTCGTCGACTGCGTCTCTTGCCCCAAAAATAAATCGCCAGGAGAATTGCGTTGTTG